TAAAGGTAGTAATGAACTTAAATAACAGCATCCTAATTATTATTTTGAAGGAAGGGTGCTAACTTATATATAATCATATGAAAAAAAAGTATTCAGAGGGAATCATATGAAAATATACTGATCCAAAAAGCCTAATCAGGGGTCACAATCTACCAGCCAGACGAAAGACCACAAGAAGGATACTTCTATATGATGAATAAAATTAGAAAAGGCAGGGATCAGAATCTGTCATGGACATCACAATAAGGTGAGAATCTGCATATACCTGTGGAAGGGGAATTGCTGAACCGAAAAGGTTGTTAGCGTTGATGCTTTGTTCCGGGCGAGGACATCCACCCCACTCAAAACTACAAACCTAAGAGTTGGTCTGGTTTTATTGATACTGAACACAACAGAGGTCAAATTTCTCTCCAACTGAGACCAGCGGCCATGCATGGATCTGCCCAGGAAGCATGTCACTGCAATTGGAAAACAAGTTAAAATCGACAGCATCCCGAACAGTACTACTGTGTGCGTGACTTTACAATCCTACATGTTATCATTCTCAACCGACATGCCTACTCAACATGTGAGATAGAACCTCCAGTCTTGGATTTTGTTCTGCCCAGAGAAGATTGAGATATTACAGATGTCCTCAGTTGCTAGTAATATAGAAGCATCACCAAGAAACAGAGTGGTTTGCCTGGTGTGCTGGCACGAGGTAATAAACTTAAAATACAAAGAAATAGATTAAAAAATTAACAAAGATTAATTGTCATTAGAAGGATTGGGCATTACTTCATATGTACAAAATTGTGATCACACCATCCCTTTTGTTCTACACCAGATGGCGTGAATCAGTCACACATCAACATCCTTTTTGTTCTATAGAAAATAGGAAGGGGAAGAAGGGCTGGGCTAGGAGGAAAGGGGGCAACGGTGGATGGGGCTGGGCTATGGTAGTCGCGCCGGTGTGGATCCCGCTGGGCGCAGCCATGGACCCCGCAGTACCGGAGGTGCGTGGGGCGCGGAGGAGAAAGGATAGGAGAAGGAAGACGGGGAGGATACCTGCGCCGCCGTGGATCCTGCTGGGCGCGGTCACGAATATCTGCCGCCGACCTCCATGGCGCCGCCGGGTATGGGGATGAGGACCGGCGATGGGTACGGGGAGGAGCGTTTCGGAAACGGTATTGAGGGTCGCTCTGGATCCCGAAGCCCGCAGTGGACCTCCTTTGCGGATGGGTTGGAATTTTGCTGGCCGATGGCCCAGTGCACGAGTGGCCTCCGTTTCGGCTTCCAGAGCAGCAGCCCACAGGACAGCTGGGCCAGGTTACACACATTGCGAAATAAATCACTTTTCACACGAGATCTGATGGCCAAAGACGACCGGATCACGGAAACGGACGGCCGAAAATCCAAATCGCTGTGAGAACAGGGATTAGATGCGGTTATACTGTCTTTAATTAGTAATCACTGATCGAGAGGAAACACACCTTGAATCCAGAGGGGTACCGGACGCCAGCGGCGTGATCTCCCTGGTGGGGCATTTCACCGAGCACCTGCAGGGCGCCCGATCCTCGCATGCAGATGGCAACTGAGATGAGCAGGCCGCCGTTACCGTGCGTCGACGGAGACGTACGCTAGCATCAGAAGCTGGAGCCATTTTGGTCGGAGAGGATTCATCGAGCGTGGGTCGCCTCGATCGGAAGCAGTTGCTCAAGGCGTGAATGCAGGTGCGGCTCGAATCCAGCTGGTTTAGCATCAGTCGCTCCTTGCGATCTTCTGCACTATGGGCGGACTGCCCAGGTGCAGGTCGGGGCGGGCGGTCGCCGGCGATCCCCTGAGAAAAGGGGCGGCGCCTTGGCTCCTGGCTCGCCTCTCGCGCTGCTGCGTCTCGTGGCATTCAGAAACAAACTGTGGAAACCGGCAACCTGGGCGGCAGATTTTTTGTTTTTGAGAAAGGGCGGTAGTTCATCGCAAATGACCAATGGTGGCCGGGCTCCGGTGAAATAGAAATACATGTTCAACACGTCCGAGAAAAATTTACAGCCGGCGCCCCAAACCGGCCTCAAACGCCTGGGCGGGCTACCCCGTTACTGACCGATCACGAAAATGTGACCCATCCGGGTGCCTCAAACGCATGGGCTGTTCGGCACCCCTCATATTCAACCCAAATATAGGGCGGATGTGGGCCGCCGTGCGCGCGGACGCGTCCGACACATCAGCCCGGCCCACCCCGACCCCACTCCGTCTCCACAAATATCCTTAATCCAAAAACTCTACCTTACTCCACTCTCAGTCCGTCTCTCCTTCTCCCATTCAATGCGATCCACTTTGACGAATTCGGCAACCTTGTCTAGCGCCGGCAGCCGCTCCGACTCCGACTCCGACAAAGAGCCGACCCTCCATATTGCCATCGAGAGGTCCAAGGTGGACACGGGGGGCAGTTCCTGATCTGCCACCTTGCCTCTCCCCCGCCGAGGCAGCAAGGACGCCGATGCTGGATGCTCCCGCGTGCAGCTCTGGAGGGCTACACAGTCCGCGCCTCCCCCACGCCATCCCCTGCCCCCGCGGGCTGTTGCTCCACCATGCGGGCAACGGTGGATGCTTGTGCCCGCCCAGCCAGCCCGGGCGCGCACGCCGGAGTCAGAGGCGCGAACCGCCCGCCACGAGAGGCGATGGGCAAGGGAGAGGGACGCGAAGGAGCCGACGAGGATGAGCGGCTCCTCATGTGGGTCTACCATCGGTCACTTACGAAGGCGGAGACAGACACTTGGTGGCTCTGCCGGAAAGAACGCAAAGGCTCTCCGCTTGCCATCGAGCAGTCCGAGCGCGAGGCCAAGGAGAAGGCGATGGAGGCGGCTCAGCTGGCGAAGCTCAAGCGGCAGCAGGACCGGGCCATCTGGCGGCTCAAAGGGATCATCATCGTCTCCTCCTCAGGCGACGACGACGACCACGACGCCTCCTCGGACGACTTGGTCGGTCCTCCACCAGCCGCCGACGGTTACAGCTATGGCGCGGACCGGAAGGGGAAAAGGCCGGCGAGAAACTAGTGAAGATCCGCTTTCTTCAATTTAATTTCAAGTATTTAGATGTAGTTTAAAGTTCTTTGTCATTTATGTGAACTATGGTGGTCTTTTGAACATCCGTTCGTGATCTTTTGGTGAACATACTGTGCTTGCCAATGTCCGTTTCTATGTCCATTTGATGATCTATGTAGTTTGATCGACGTTGCATGGTTTAGTATGGAAAGGGGGATCGGATATGAGATACACATATATGGATGACGCGATTTGAGGAGTGATCGGTCAGTGTAGGCGCTTGAGGGCCCGGACTTGCCTAGTCCAGCTGTAGATGCTACAAACCCGCCTCATACACCTGGGCGGGGCCGCCTAGTCATGATTTTTTGACCCAAACGGGTCTCTCAAACGTCTCTCAAACGCCTGGGCTGACCGGCACCCCCATATCCAGCTCAAATATGAGACGGATATGGGGGCGCCCGGGCACGCCCGCCACGTCGGACCCGGTCCACGCTGGTTCACCCGACCCCATATAAAATCCTCCCCATCCGCTCGCCGAACCAAACCCTAACCACTTCACTCCCTTCCCCTCCCCTCCCCTCCCCTTCGCCACCCAAGCTCATCTCCGGCTCCTTTCGGTCATCTCCGACATGGCAGGCAGCGGTTCCGAGTCCTTCAGCTCCAGATCCGTCAACCACGAGCTCATCCCACGCGGCCCTGAGAAGGAGATGGCCGTCAGGCTTGCGCTCCGTCGCGCCTGGGAGGAGGCTCGTGCACGGCTGCGCTCGAACTCCATCCATCGCGAATCCATTGCGTCCACCCAAATGGCGCATGGATCCGGCGCTAGGCCGGCCGTAGCTGCCTCGTCGGAGGCCGTGCGGTCCGTTTGGCGTCCGAACGCATGGGCGGACACGCAACCCCTCCGGTGGCGCGCCGATATTTGGGACGCATCATCGTCCCATGAGGCCATGGCCCGCCGTGCAAGGCACCGGGCACGGGAGGCGGCGGCAGCCCTTGCGGCGGTGAACGTCGGCGAGGCGGAATCGCATTCTCCGGCGCCCCGTATGGCGCATCAATTCGGGCGCCGCAACCGCATCGTGGTGGACGTCAGCAGCTCGTCCCCGGACAGATCCGTCATCGATCTGACGTCCACCGGCAACATTCGGGTTTCGAGCTCCGACGAGGAAGAGTAGGGTATGGGAGACAGCGGCGCCTTGAGTCCCATTAGCCGGCTCGTGTCCCATGCCCTACCCTACCTTGCCGGCGACCGTACCAACACTCCAAGGAGTGCATCCGGCCGCCGGACATGGCCTGGGCGGAGCCGGGCGAGCGGGGAGCGAAACCGGACGAAGCTCGCGTCAAAGATCGCTGCGTTGCATGTAATAATATGGATTTGAGGCTTCTAATTTGAGGTATCCGAATGTGGAATGCATTTTTTGAGGGATGAGCGGTAAATTGTCCGCGAACACTTAAGGGGTCAGATTTGTCAAGTCCGGATGTAGATGCTATAAGGGAACTAAGTACGCTTGGCAACCTTTTTTTTTAGGGAAGTACGTTTAGCAACTGTTGGAACAGGAAAGTGCGTGCTGCCACAACTCCAATGCTCAGTCACTCGACCCACTAGACTGCGCATCACCTCACGCACGCTTTGCATGTGTTGGGCCGAACCAGAAGCGGCCAGTTCTGCGGATGTCACAGGGCCAAACCGTGTTCTTTCATATTGAGGTAATAGCACCCAGGTATCCTAACTTGCACACAATGTGATGATCTAGTCTCAAAGTTGCAAAACTAGACCAACCCATACCCCAACTTGCATTCAATGTGATGATTTAGTCCCAGGCCAATCAGAGCTCGCCAATTGGCTGCCAAGTGGCTGGGCTGGTCAGTGCTGGCAGTTTTGCACAAAACCCCCTGCCGTTTCCCTGATTCAACCCGCAGTTACTCCCCACCTGAATTAAATCTGTCGGAGGAATCCACTTCACGTCCGGTCCTGCAGCAGCGATGAAGGGCAAGGAGGAGGACGTGCGGCTCGGGGCGAACAAGTACTCGGAGCGTCAGCCCATCGGCACGGCGGCGCAGGGGTCCGAGGACAAGGACTACAAGGAGCCCCCGCCGGCGCCGCTGTTCGAGCCCGGCGAGCTCAAGTCCTGGTCCTTCTACCGCGCCAGCATCGCCGAGTTCATGGCCACCTTCCTCTTCCTCTACGTCACCATCCTCACCGTGATGGGCTACAGCGGCGCCATCTCCAAGTGCGCCACCGTCGGCATCCAGGGCATCGACTGGTCCTTCGGCGGCATGATCTTCGCCCTCGTCTGCTGCACCGCCGGCATCTCCGGTACTGTTCCTTGCTCTCCGCTTCATTCTTGTAGCTTTTTTGCTGTGCTAGCTGCTAACTGGTAAGGGATGGATGGGTGCAGGCAGGCACATCAACCCGGCGGTGACCTTCGGGTTGTTCCTGGCGAGGAAGCTGTCGCTGACCAGGGCGGTGTTCTACATCATCATCATGCAGTGCCTAGGCGCCATCTGCGGCGCCGGCGTGGTGAAGGGGTTCCAGTAGGGCCTGTAAATGGGCAACGGCGGCGGCGCCAACGTGGTGGCGCCCGGCTACACCAAGGGCTCCGGCCTCGGCGCCGAGATCATCGGCACCTTCGTCCTCGTCTACACCGTCTTCTCCGCCACCGACGCCAAGAGGAACGCCAGGGACTCTTACGTTCCGGTGAGTACCATCACCGCCGTTCTGTTCTTTCCCCCCGTCGACAGCCAGCAGTAAAGATGTTAAAATTTCCTTACTGTGCTTAGTTATTAATGATTACTTATTGTGTGTGGAACGTCGACAGATCCTCGCCCCGCTGCCAATCGGGTTCGCGGTGTTCCTGGTCCACCTGGCCACCATCCCCATCACCGGCACCGGCATCAACCCAGCGAGGAGCCTCGGCGCGGCCATCATCTACAACAGGGAGCACGCCTGGTCAGACCACGTGAGTGAACCAAAACCGAAACTGAAACCTAATAACACCCCTCCTTTCCTTTGTCTGAACTTGAAAGCATGGCACTTGCTTGTTTTCTGCAGCAGTAGTAACTGCAGGCATGTGGTAGCAGTAGCATTCAGAAGTAACTTAAAGTTGACGCAGACGCATAGCAACTCTCTTTGCAATCAAAAGACGCATAGCTACTCTCTATTGCACACCTAATTACCCGATGTGAAATTGGAAAGCTGATTAATCTAGTGAACCGATGTGACAGTAGCTGCAATAATTGAGCAGTTATAGCTGATGAGAGTACTGTATCATCTGCTGGTTATTCAAATATGGGAAGTCTACCCTGATCTGAAGGGAAATGCCGAGAGACTTGACTCGGCGTAGCACGCAACCGCTGCCTTCTGGTAGCAGGACAGTGACTTGAGTGTCCATTGTAGATTATTACTATGGGAAATTGTTTACTAGCATTGCTGTGCTTATAGTAGTAATAAGGGCTGACATGTCCATCAAACTTTCGCGTTTGCAGTGGATCTTCTGGGTCGGCCCCTTCATCGGCGCTGCGCTGGCCGCCGTCTACCACCAGGTGGTCATCAGAGCCATCCCGTTCAAGACCAAGTCCTAAGATGCTGTTCTTCCTGCTGCTACAAAGAAAGATGCCGACCCGAAGAGCAAGCAAGCTGCGTTGTTCTTCCCATCAAATCGTGTTACCGTGGAATTCCAATTTGTCTTCCAAGTTTGATGTACTGCTAGTCTTGCTATGTATTCACCTGAACCCATACTCGTATGTAATCTCATCAGTACTCAGTTGTTGTGTGCTGCACGTTGTTATGCAAATTGAGCCAAGTTGTGTTGATGTGCCCCGACAACGACCAAGTGAACCCTCTCGAACCGGACGTGAAGTGGATTCCTCCGACAGATTTAATTCAGGTGGGGGGTAACTGCCGGTTGAATCAAGGAAACGGCAGGGAGTTTTGTGCAAAACTGCCAGCGCTGACCGGCCCAGCCACTTGGCAGCCAATTGGCAAGCTTTGATTGGCCTGGGACTAAATCATCACATTGGATGCAAGTTGGGGTATGGGTTGGTCTAGTTTTGCAACTTTGGGACTAGATCATCACATTGTGTGCAAGTTAGGGTACCCGGGGTGCTATTACCTTTTTCAGATTGATCCACCGGTCGAGGAAGATTGTCTGCATAGGATGCTCACCCGACGCAATTTCATGAGGAATTGCACTGACGTACTTCATCTGTAAACAAATATAAGAGCGTTTAGATTATTAAAGTAGTGATCTAAATGCTCTTATATTTCTTTACGGAGGGAATACTCAACATCACGTCACAGCCGGCTCCGTCGGATGCGAATGTTTCTTTCGTGGACATAAAACCTGCATTCAACTACGGCGCCCCTGGTTGACCGGAGGAAGACTTGCTGGTTGGCATGTTGTGCTTCTTCCCTTCCTCGACGGCTCTGTCAGACTTTTTATGATAGAGGCTCAGCAGCTTCTCCCGACGACTCGCGCCGAGCCAAGTCTTTTTCATATACTGTAGTATACAATCGCACCACTCTAATTTTTCACCTGTCGCTGCCATGGCATCCGCCATTCTGAATCACAATGATTAAGAAGAGGAAGCACACTTGCTCAGAAGGTGCCAGGCCAGAAAGACCTGGCTTGTATAATAAGGAGAAAAGAGTTGGAGGATCCAAAGAACACACGTACGGAGAAAACAATAATACTACACGTACAAGATATTCATACAAAGCTTTACAGGATGACAACGTGGCCTAATCTAATTACCCTCTGATTTTCAGAATGGGGCCGTCCCCCTTAATCAAATTCCAACCAATCACAGCCAACGAGCCTGTAAATCCTTCCTACACCGCCCGTACGTCTAGCATTGCTTCGGAGAAAATATCCAAGTACTAACAGTTAACACCTAGGAAAGCTGTCGTATAGTAAGAACAAAGGGAATCATGAGCAGGCGACAAACATATGTCCAACGATAATCTATACGAAGACATCCAAAAACGCAAACGCGTGCTCATCACGATGTTTCCGATCGGCTTCATCTTAAAAAGCTAGGCTAGAATATTTGACCGGAGAAGACCTGGTTGCTTCCCTTTCTCGGAGGAGCCTGACGCCCGTCCGTCCGTCCGCATGTGGAAATTGCTGTGCAGGGCGCACCTTCGTCCCGCCGAGTCAAGTCCTTCTATAATCACGACGAAACCATCTCTCTCTTCTATAATTAACACAAGAGGAAGGGAATCACAGCTGTGGAGAGCAGGCGCAGCCGTCAGTCAGTGCCAATGGATCAGCCCGTGCAGCCATGGGAGTACAGCCTGCGGAAGTACCTCCTGCTGCTGGCCACCCTGGTGGTCACCGTCACGTACGCCGCCGGCTTCAACCCGCCGGGGGGCGTCTGGCAGAACGCCCTCGGCGGCCGACTCGCCGGCGACCCCATCATCCGCGACACCAACTACCACCGCTACCTCGCCTTTTTCTACTGCAATGCCACCGCCTTCGCCGCGTCCCTCGTGGTCATCGTCCTCATCCTCGTCCTCGCCATCCGCCACGACAAGAAGGGGAAGGACAGCCGCTGGGTCGTCGTGCCCCTGCGGCTGGTCATGGTGCTGGACCTGCTCAGCCTCATGGGCGCGTACGGCGCCGGCACCTGCCGGGACAAGATTTCAACCGTCTATTCCGCGGTGCTGGTGGCCATCGTCTTCCTCTACATCCTCGTTCTCAAGTCGATGGACTGCTGGGACAAGAACTCCGACTCCGGCGCCGGCTCCGGCCGCGGGATGCCCGTTTCCAACGGCAACACCGGCTCCAGCTCTGGCAGCGAGACGCCCATTCCCAATCCTGACTGTGGCACCGGCATGATTTCCACCTCCGTCCCCGGCTCTGACGGGATGCCAATCTCCAACGGCAACACCGGCTCTGGCGGCGTGATGCCCACTCCAAATCCCGACTCCAACACCGGCACGATTCCAGCCCCCATCCTCGGCTCTGACCCCACGGTCGGAGAAGACAAGGAGCGGCCCCGCCACCACAAGGTCCACAAAAAGCTGAAAGCCGAAGAACGGCTCCGCAAGGTCCTGATGCTCCTGGCTACGTTCGCGGTGAGCATCACGTACGTCGCCGGGCTGAGCACGCCAGGCGGCTTCTGGGACAGCACCGAGGGCAGCCACCACCCAGGCGATGCGGTTCTCAAGGACAACCATGGCCCGCGCCTGACGGTGTTCCTGCTGTGCAACACCACGGCGTTCATGGCATCCCTGCTCATCACCATGCTGCTCATCATCGACGGCAAGAAGCTCCGCAAGAAGAAGACGGTTCGGTCACGCATGCTCTACGGGTGCATCGTCATTGCCCTGGTCGGTCTCGTTGCGGCATACATCGCCGGCAGCTGCAGGGAGATCGATACCACCGCCTACGTGTTCAGCCTAGTTGGCGCCGTTCTGGCAATGGCACACATCATCCTACTCTATGGTATCTACGCTTCTTCTCGTTCCACTCCAGTGCAACAAACTGGAGAAGTTCAGCAGACTGTTGATAATGTCAGGTAAGGATCACGTACATATCATCTTCTTCCTTTCCTCTGTTTGCAACTGAAATCTCTGTTTCTTTCTCTGCTGCTGAAGTTTGTTTCCTCTGTTTGCAGTTTCACTGTTTACTCTGCAAACTGAACTAAACTCTGTTTCTTCTTCTCTGCAGTGGTAGGAAGGCTCTGGACAAGGCTCGCTCTCTCGTTCTACTGCTCGCTACTCTTGCCGCCGCCATCACCTACACAGCGGGGTTGGACCCGCCAGGTGGCCTTTGGCAGGACAACAGCAACAGCCACATGGCCGGTGACCCAATCCTTCTCACGACCAATGCTAGGCGATACAAGGCCTTCTTCTACTGCAACTCGATTGCCTTTGTGGCCTCCTTGGTAGCCATCGTCCTAGTCCAGACAGATATTCTGGTCAGGCACCACGTGCTGGAGGCAGCCATGATACTCGATCTGTTTGGCCTCATCGGCGCCTATGCTGCTGGGAGCTGCCGGGATGTGAACACCTCCATTTATGCCATAGCTTTGGCAGGCGCCGTCCTGGTCTATGTGGTGATCCATATTGTCTTCTTCACGCTGGACCACGAGGACAAAAAGGACGACGACCAGGAAAATCAGTTGTTGGAGAAGAGGCGCAAACGGTTGCTCCTCTTTGCGATATTGGCCGCGACCATTACCTACCAAGCCGGCCTCACCCCTCCTGGCGGCTTCCTGCTCCAGGATGACAAGCTCGGACACCACGCTGGCGACCCAGTCCTCTTGTTCAACTACCCACTCCGTTACAAGGTCTTCTTCTACTGCAACTCGGTGAGCTTCATGCTGTCCATCTCCCTCACCATCCTCCTTGTGAACCACAATCTGTACAGGCCAGCCATACGAAGCAATGCGCTATTTGTTTGTATGGTCGTGGGCTTGTTGTGTTTGATGGTGGCCTACGCCGCCGGAAGCACCCAACACCTCAAGACATCCATCTACATCTTTTTGTTGGTCGGTGCGGCCCTTCTCGTTGCAGCCGGACTCCTGCTAGTATTTTTGCTGAAGAAAAATGACAGCGATTCAGCAGCGCAACACACTGAACAGAACCAAGAAATGAAGGAGTTAGAAGTGAGGAAAGGGGATAAAGAGGAAAGAGAGGAGGCAGAAGAAAAGAATGGGGATAAAGAACTAAGGAAGAAGGAGGTAGAAGAAAATAAAGAAGAAAGGAAGAAGCACGAGAGGCGCAAGTACCTGATGCTGCTAGGCATCTTGGTGGCAAGCGTAGCCTACCAGGCCGGCCTGAAACCGCCCGGCGGAGCGTGGCAGAGCAGTGAGAATGGGTATGAGGCGGGTGACCCGGTGATGCATGATAACAGGAGGCCCCGGTACCTCATCTTCTTCTACAGCAACTCATTTTCCTTCATGGCCTCCATTGTTGTCATCATGATGTTGCTGCCGCACTGGCTGCCAAACAAGAAGAAAGAAGAATGGGAGAAATGGTCGCTGAGGGTGATGAACTGGACGATCCTACTGGATTTGTTCACTCTCCTGGTGTCCTATGCAGCCGGCTCCAACAGGCAGTGGAAGACGTCGGTTTATGTCGCCGCACTCATCTTTGCTGTGCTGGTCTACTTTGCAATCCATATGATGCTGTCATGTACTGTTTGTCACCCTGAGAGGCACCAAAGCCCCCAAAGCAGCTCTGAACCGTAGTTCTACTATGTGAGGGCCTCAAAGCTGTGATCTATCTATTTCTCCGTCTCTAGATCTCTAGTCAGCTTAATTAGCTCTGTTCAATCTCTCTGCTCTAGCTAGCTCTCTCTGTTTTTAGATTCCTATTCTAGTTGATGTAATCCGATAAACCTGTATCCTGATTGGAGGTTGGAGCAAGCTGACATTGTTTGTCGATCCACTGGGGATGTGTGTGTACCTTAACCCGATAATTACGCATTGTAGGTGAAACTTCCTGATCCTATGTGCAATCTCTGTCTCACAAAAACTTGAATGGGAAGTGCATGAATTGCAGTTCCATTGTACTTATTCAGGAAACTGAAGCATTTGTTGCTACTGAAACATGCCAGTATGTCACTGTGTGCGGTCTGAAGTAATAATCGTGTAATTCTAACAGTAGCCACTGGCCTTGTCGAGAGGAAACGTACCTTGAATCCGTGACCCGACTTCAGCGGCGCAGTCTCCCCTGTGGTGCAATTCGCCGAACAACTGCAGGGCGCCCGATCTCCACATGCAGGTTCACGCACCTGAGCTGCGCAGGCCGCCGTCGTGTGTATCGTCGTTCGTCCTGGATCGATACGTACTGATAGCCTCACAGGTTGGTGCCTCGATCGGAAGCAGTTGCTGGAGCCGACGAGCCTCACAGGGTGCGCGAGTGCAGGCGCCGTGATTCAGAGGAGTGCGCGAGTCCTGCAGGTTTAGCCGAACCAGCCCCGCCTCAGTCGGTCCCTGCGATCTTCCACACGAGGGATCGCAGCCCCGCCTCAACCGGAAGCAGCGCCACGCTGCCCGCGTGCAGATCGGGGCATGGGCTGTCGCCGGAGATCGCCGGGGAAAAGGAACACCGCCAAAGCCCCTGCCTCCCGCGCGGTTGCGTCTCGTGTGGACGAGCGGTAGGATGGGCCGAGCGAGCAGACTCTGGGCTGGCTTCTTAACCTGGTCGATACGCGGGTGACGGCTATCCGAGCCGTCCTCATGCCCGGCTACATGACGGCTATCCGAGAGTATGAGATGGCGCCGGTGACGCCGCCGCTCGTCCAGGAATACATGCAGGTTGCCCCTGCCGCCGGCCACCCGGAGGACCTGCCGGACTTCCCCGGGTGCCACGCCGCGGTGGCGGACTCCATGGCACCCATCTTCGAGGTGGGGGGCAGCAGCGGCAGCGACGACTGCGAGCTTGGCTTGGACGACGAGGACCTCGGCGGCGTGGACGACGAGTAGATTAGGATTTTAATCTCATTTTAGTAATTTTGATCGAATTTCATTCAACTAGCATGTAAAATTTCCTAAGAGTTTAATGAAATGAACAAGTTTAATGTTTAAACTTTGTTTGAATGAATTTCGGTAAATTTGTGTTCAAGTATTTGAAAAATGAACAACAAGAAATTAAAGAAGGAAAACAAGTACGGATTTAAAAGTTGTCAAAGTAAAGAAGAAAACCGAAAGAAAATGAAATAAAGAAGAAAAAGAAATAAGTACTCCCTCCGTCCCATAATGTAAGACGTTTTTTGACACAAAGAAACAAGTTTGAAAAATAAAATATTTTTTTATAAACAAATGTATAGAATTATTATTAATTGAAATAATTAAGATAAAATAAATAAGATACACATTTTTCAAATGGATAAATAAGATAAAGGTAATTCTCCAAATTTGGATATTACAAATGAAATATGAAATAAATGAAATGAAAATCATAGAAACAAAAAATGAAAGAAGAAGTAAAACTAAAAGAAAAAACTAGCCGCCGAGCCGAGTAGGGCGTATTAGGCCCATCCCGATCAAGCGCAACTGCGAAAGAGAGAGAGCTTTTCGGCCAAACACGGCCCAGAGGCCCATCAAGGTGGAGACGATAGGATATTCAGAGGTGTTCGGTGAGGTAGGCGGACAGGGCTATTTTTGTAGCGCCGCTTCTGTCGTGGGCGTTGTGCGGACTCGTAGGCGTAGCTGGGCCAATCCGCGCAAGCCCACGACGACGCCAGATGTCGCCATCGTACTTGGCTAGTTGGGCCGCATTTTTTAAGAAAGGTTATTGATTTTGTTTTGTCTTTCCAAGTGATAAAATATAACATCTATTTCCAAGTGATAAACACGGCCCGATATTGCCGTCGTACTGGGCCAGTTGAGCCGCCGTATCCCCTCCTGAGCGCTTTGTCATGAGCTTAGTTGTCCTAGGGCATCTTGTGGTGTTGTAATCTAGCCGTCGTATGTTTTCTGTTGGCATCATAATGGCGTGTGTTTGTGTTGTCCGGTTATCTCGGATTCTACTTTGTAAGAGGGCTAGCGTGTAACTTGGTTATGATGCTTTATATATAAAGCAGTGCAAAGGCCTGTTTAGGGCTCTAAACTCCTGCATTCAATCCCCTCACAGATTATCATTTCCTGCATTCTCGTTCCCTCTCTATAGTTAGGGAGTTGCTTGCCCGAAAGTGTCGTTTTACAGTCTACACCTGAGCTCAAATACTTCCGCTGTAAACAGTGATTTTTTAAAGCACATAAGAAGAAAAATGATATTTAACAACAATCGTTGCTTAGTTCTGTACCTATATATGGATACATTTTCCGTGATTGAATGCCATTATTGAAGGTCTAGAAAAAAAATCAATACTCTAAAATACTTTAAAATATAGTCTTTTGAAGCATCAGTTTTTTTCGCCTAGAGCATTACAAATGTCTTTTCTTCACGAAACATTGCATAGGGGTGAAACATACATCAAAGTTTGTCAAAAAAAATCATATTATTTTGAATTTTATTAATATTACTGATCATCTCGTTGTATGCGCACCAAGTAGCCAAAACTCTGTATATGTTGCTCGCCGACAACCACAACTCCATAGGTTGGCCCAAACCAGCCGAGTCTAGCCAGGTTCTCACTTTTGTTAGAGCAACTCTAGCAGACTCCGCATCCAGCTCCGACCCGGCAAATAACCGCCAAAATGCGGGTCAGGGCCGAAAAACCTGCCCGATCAGACCCCGCATCCCGTCATGACCCCCAAAAAAATTTAGAGGGCGCGGCAAAATCTCGGCAAAATCTCGTCGCGGCTGCGGTGCCCTGCATCACAGAGAAGTAGTTGGCGGAAGGGACATTTCAGCCCGCGCGCATTTTCCCATCCCCTTCCGCCGCCGTCCGCCTTTTCTTCCGCCCCTCCGCCGCCGGCGATTCCGCCAAATCTGCAGGTAGAAACGCGTCGCGAGGCCGTCCACCATCCTCCCGCGCCGTCACGCTGCACCCCCCCCCCCTCGGATCCGGGGAGAAGAGCGCCCTCGTCGCCGCCGCCGTCGGGGATCGACCACTGCCGAGCCCGCCCCTCGTCGCCGCCCGGGATCACCCGTCGCATCCTCCACCGGTTATTGTGTATTTTGTGATCTTTGCGAGCGAGCGCTATAGTTCATTGACGTGCCGGTGTGCATGTAGATGGATTTGAGTCCGTGTGAGAAGTTCTTGCTCACCGATTCGTCCGATTCAGACGACTCGGACCATGCTTGCCAACTTAGTTTGCTTCCGTTTGTTGTGGATGATTGTTGTACTGTGTTGAATTTGAATAATTATTTAGTTTACTTCCGTTTATTGTATCATGCTGGATTTGATACATTTTACGGGTTGATGAGATGTGGATGGCAGCGGTGCAAGAGCAGACACCGCAAGCCGACCCCATATAAAAGCATATTCGACGAATATACTTTTATACGGGTCCGTTTGGGAGGTCTACATCTGTGGCCATCCTTGCTGGCCCGCAAAAGCCGTTTTCCGTAAACTGCAAATGCGTTTTACGGGCCGGCGGAATGCGGGGTCTGCTAAAGTTGCTCTTAGGCATGGGACATCATACCTTGTTTGGCCAGTCCCATGAACCAAACTTTATTCCATACTCTGGTGTTTGACGAATAAAACCTGGTTTTACCGCCACACGAAAGTATGACGAGGGGGCGCCCAACCGTGTTTCTTAGATTGATCTACCGGTCGATGAAGATTGGCTGCATAGGATGCTCACTCCGACGTAATTACATGACGAGTTGCACTGACGTACTCAACATGACCACACACCACGTCACAGCCGACTCTGTCGGATGCAAATGCTTTTTTCCTACTAGACATAAAACCTGCATTCAACTGCGGCGCCCGTAGTTGACCGGAGGAAGACTTGCCCGTTGACCGGAGGAAGACTTGCTCGTTGGCTTGTTGCTACTTCCCTTCCTCGACGACTCCCTGTCAGACTTTGATGATGATCGAATATGCAGGGCCCAGAGGCTCGGCAGCTTCTCCCGACGACCCGCGCCGAGCCAAGTCTTTTTCATATACTGTAGTATACAATCGCGCCACTTTAGATTTTTTTTCACCTGTCACTGCCATGGCATTTCGCATTACCTATAATAAGGAGAATAGAGATGGAGGATCCAAAGAACACACGTACGGAGAAAATATCCAAGTAACACATAGGTAAGCTGTCGTATATACTAGTAAGAACGAAGAGAATCATGACCAGGCCGAAGAGCATCAGTCCAATGATGATCTACACCAAGACATCCAAAAACACAAACGCGTACTCTGGTCATCACGATGTTTCCGATCGGCTTCATCTTAAAAAGCTAGGCTAGAACGGCTTAGTTTACTTGACCGGAGAAGACTTGGTTCACTTTCTCCGACGACCGCTGACGTCGGTCGGTCCGCATGCGGGAGTCGCTGTGCAGGGCGCAGAGGCTCAGGCGGACTAGGCACCTTCGCCCCGACGACGCGCACGCGCCGAGTCAAGTCGTCGTTATATAATCACGACGAAACCATTCGCCAGTCTGCATCACAATAATTAACAACAGGAAGGGAACCACAGCCGTTGAGTGAGAGAATGGAGTGTGGTGGCATCTCCGCCGTGCAGGTGCAACCGGCAGCGCCAATGGATCAGCCCGGCCAGCCGGCCAAGCCGCCGGTGCAGCCATGGGAGTACAGCCTGCGGAAGTACCTCCTGCTGCTGGCCGCCCTGGTGGTCACCGTCACGTACGCCGCCGGCTTCAGCCCGCCGGGAGGCGTCTGGCAGACCGCCCACGACGGGCAGCCCGCCGGCGACCCCATCATCCGCGGAACCCACTACCGCCGCTACCTCGCCTTCTTCTACTGCAACGCCACCGCCTTCGCCGCGTCGCTCGTGGTCATCGTCCTCATCCTCATCCTCGCCGTCCGCCACGACAAGAAGGGGAAGGACAGCCGCTGGGTCGTCGTGCCCCTGCGGCTGGTCATGGTGCTGGACCTGCTCAGCCTCATGGGCGCGTACGGCGCCGGTACCTGCCAGGACAAGGTCTGCATCGTCTACTCCGCGGTGCTGGTGGCCGCCGTCTTCCTCTACATCGCCGTTCTCAAGATGATGGACTGGTGGGGCCCAGACAACAAATCCGGCTCTGGTTGCGACGGCACAATGTCCACCGCACCCAACCGCAACTCCAACTTCGACGGCGTGATGTCCACTCCTAATCCCGACTCCGATCCCGGCACGATTTCTTCCCCCGTCCGCGACTCTGATCCCAATGTCAGAGAAGAAGAGGACCGTAAACGCGAGGCCTTGAAGAAGCTGAAAGCCGACGAACGGCTCCGCAAGGTACTGATGCTCCTGGCGACGTTCGCGGTGAGCATCACGTACGTCGCCGGGCTGAGCACGCCGGGTGGCTTCTGGGACACCACCGGGATCAGCTACCGCCCGGGCGACGCAATCCTCAAGGACCGCCACCGCCCGCGCCTGACGGTGTTCCTGCTCTGCAACACCACATCGTTCGTAGCGTCCTTGCTCATCATCATGCTGCTCATCATCGACGGCAAGAAGCTCCGCGAGAAGAAGGCTCGGTCGCTCGTGCTCTACGGGTTCATCGTCGTCGCGCTTGTCAGCCTCGTCGGCGCTTACACCGCTGGCAGCTGCAGGGAGACAAAAACCACCATCTACGTGGTCTCCCTGGCCGGCGGCATTCTAGCAACAGCATACATCCTACTCTATGCTTTCTACACTTTAAAGTCTTCTCGTTCCAGTCCAACGCAACAAATTGATGCAATTCAGCAGACTACTGATAATGTCAGGTACTGTTTGCAACTGAACTGAACTCTGCTTCTTCATTCTCCGCGACTGAACTGAACTCTGTTTCTTCTTTCACCGCAGTGCTAGAAAGGGTCTGGACAAGGCTCGCTCTCTTGTTCTACTGCTCGCCACTCTTGCCGCCACCATCACCTACACAGCGGGGTTGGACCCACCAGGTGGCGTTTGGCAGGACAAGGGCGATGGGTACATCGCCGGCGACCCGATTCTAATCACAACGAACATTAGGAGGTACAGGGCCTTCTACTACTGCAACTCGGTTGCGTTCGTGGCCTCCTTGGTGGTCATCGTCCTGGTCCAGACGGAGAGGCTGATCAAGCACCACGTGCTGGAGGCGGCCATGATACTCGACCTGTTTGGCCTCATCGGCGCATATGCCGCCGGGAGCTGTCGGGGCGTGAATTCCTCCATTTACGTCATGGCTTTGGCAGGCGCTGCCCTGATCTATGTGGTGATCCATATTGTCTTTTTCACACTGGAGCTGGATCACAAGGACAAGAAAGACGACGATGAAGATGAGTTGCTGGAGAAGAGGCGCAAACGGTTGCTCCTGTTCGCGATCTTGGCGGCAACCATCACCTTTCAAGCCGGCCTCACCCCTCCTGGCGGGTTCCTTCTCCAGGACGACACGCTCGGGCACCACGCCGGTGACCCGATCCTCTTGCACAACTACCAAGTCCGTTACTATGCCTTCTTCTACTGCAACTCAGTGAGCTTCATGCTTTCCATCGCCCTCATCATCCTCCTGGTGAACCCCAATCTGTACAGACCAGCCATACGAAGCAATGCACTATCCGTTTGCACGGCGGTGGGCTTGTTTTGTTTGATGGGGGCCTACGCTGCCGGAAGCACGCAACACCGCAAGACATCCATCTACATCTTCGTGTTGGTGGCCGTGGTCCTCCTCGTTGCAGCCGGACTGCTGCTGGTATTTTTGCTGAAGAGAAAGCGCAGCAATGCGGTAGTTGCGCCACCCAGAGAACAAAACGAAGAAGAAAGGAAGGAGGTAGAAGAAAAGAACGAGGATGAAGAAGAAGCGAAGAAGCATGCAGGGCGCAAGTACCTGATGCTGCTAGGCATCTTGGTGGCGAGCGTAGCCTACCAGGCCGGCCTCGAACCGCCCGGCGGGGCGTGGCAGAACAACGACAACGGGTACGAGGCGGGCAACCCGGTGATGCACGACAACAGGAGGGCCCGGTACCTCGCCTTCTTCTACAGCAACTCCATTTCCTTTGTGGCTTCCATCGTTGTCATCATCATGTTGCTACCGCAATGGCTGCCAAAGAAGAAAGAAGGAGAATGGGAGAAATGGTCGCTGCGGGTGATGAACTGGACGATCCGACTGGATCTGTTTGCTCTCCTGGTGGCCTATGCAGCCGGCTCCAACAGGGGGTGGAAGACATCTGTTTATGTCGTCGCACTCGTCTTTGCCGTGCTGAGCTACTTTGCAATCCATACAGTACTGGCATGTACTGTATGTCGCCGTGAGAGGCACCAAAGCAGCTCTGTAGTGTAGCTCTACTATGTGAGGGTGATTGCTCATCTGAGCTCCGTAGTGTAGATCTCTAGTCAGCACGCCCTACTCTAGCTACATGTTCCTCCTTGCTCAAGGGCTTAATCGAAAAGCTTCCCAGTTTTTAGATTCGTAGTCTAATTGATGTAATCAGATATTCAGATTAACCTGCATCCCAGTTGGGGCATGCTGACATTGTTTGGCGACCCACTGGGCAGGTCTGTCTGTATCTTAACCCTGCATGGTAGGTGGCATTTCCTGACCCTATGTGTACTTTCTATCTCACAAGAACTCGAATGGGAAGTGCATGAACTGCAATTGCATTTGTATTCAGGAAAGTGAAGCATTTGTTGCAACCGAAATATGCTTTAGTATGTCACTGGTTACAGTCTGAAGCATTGTGTAATCCTAATAGTATTCTGGTCAGGTAGAGAGGAAACATACCCTGGATCCGTGACCCAACTCTTAACGGCGCAGTCTCCCTAGCGTGGCAATTCACCGAACACCTGCAGGGCGCCCGACCCCGAATGCAGAAGCAGGCAACTGAGCTGACCAGGCCGCCATCGTGAGTAGCGTGGTTACCGTGGAGCATCAGAGCCTGGCGCCGTCTAGGCTGGAGAGAATTCCACGCGTGTGGGTCGCCTCGATCGGAAGCAGTTGCTGGAGCCGACGAGTGGATGGTGCGCGGATGCAGGCGCTGAGATTCAAACGAGCGCGCGAATCCAGCTCCGAACCAGCCCCGCTTGGCCGCTCTGTCCCTGCGATCTCCCACACGAACGACACGGACAAGCGGACGGCCAGGAGCAGCGTGGTGCAGGTCGGGGTGGGCCGTCGCCGGCGATCGCCGGGAAAGGAACAGCGCCTAAAGCATCCTGCGCGGCTGCGTCTGGTGTGGCCGAGCGGTAGGATGGGCCGAGCGAGCAGACTCGGGTAGGCTTTAACCGGATCGATACGGCGGGTACATGCGGCCCGTTGGTTTTCTGTAAATAGCATATAAAATAGTAAAAAAAATGTCTCAAAAAAAATATAAATAGTAAAAAAAATGTTTGTTTCTGCCGTCAAATGAAATCATATACATATATTTTATACTTATAAATAGTTGATCCCACTACTTATATTACTCTCTCTATCCTATTTTTTTACACGGTACAATTAAAGTCACTCACATACACAAGCATACACGTATCCCTATAAACGTACGCATGCACACCCTACCCTTATGAGCACCTCCGATAGATTGAGCAGACATAACATCTTAAGATTTTCTGAAGTCACCACAGACGGCTTGTAGTCGACAGGAACATCTCCTCCCACTGAACGAACATTGCCGGAAGCCTGAAATAAATCCAGAAATATTACGAACACCAATGTCAAGTTTAGGACGTGAACCTTGATGGGCTGGGGATACTACTGTCCTCCTAACCATTCAACAACATATTGGTTCGCCTCTCTGTCCCATATTAATTTACGTTGAAATAGATGTATCTAGATGTATTTCAATACTAGATACACCCATTTCAGCATCAGTTAATATGGAATAGAGGGAGTATTTTTTTGACAGAGATGAATACACTCAAACATATACACATACACTCACTCATGAACGCACGCACACACGCACCCCTACCTTTATGAGCACCTTCTGAGCCGACACAACATATTGAGACTGACGAAGTCGCCACAGACATGTTGGTGGTCGACGGGGAAAAGAGTGCAATACTAAGAATCTAATGATCTTAACAGGTTATAGCCTAGGAGACTCCCCCCCCCTTCTCAAATTTTGCAAGTCACAAAGTTGCCTCACACAAGTTCCATTTACATATTTATGAAACTAAGAACCTGGTAAAGAATTGATAGATAAATCAGGAAGATTATCACATGACTTTGTTTGCAAAATATTTATTTTCCCATTCTTTTTTTTAGCTTTAGGCAACATTGATCATAACGCTCATTTAAGGAGTTTCAAAGTGATACATGGCTTTGCCCCATCATGGTGGCGTCAAATGAAGTGCAAAGCAGCATTTTTTGCCATATTTGTGATAGAAGGAGCTCTCTGAACAGTTGTGGTTATAGTGCTGGTCAGATTCCTGGCAGCAAGTTAATTTTGACATCTATGACCCCAATTAGATAGTTTCCGCCATCAATGGCAAGCTCAACAAATTTCTTCTTGGATATGTCAGCCATACCCTCCATGAAGGTATCATGCACATTAATTTACTCTCATGTAAATTAATTGTGTGTAAAATAAGATGCTTAATTCAAATATAAAACGTAGGAAATCCTACACGACCCAAAATATGTCTTTCTACAAAAAGAGAATCACCATAACATGATGTAAATATTTGTTTTGTAGAACACATAAAGGTAATCACCACTCAGTGGCATATACCTTATTATTATGGTTGTTTTCATGATATAATCTTTGTGCCTTCATTTTTGCTTTAATCACATGTAGGTAATCAGTCCTAAGTAGTGTAGACCTTATTTTTATGGTACTTCACACAACCTTGTGTTAACTAAAACACTTTGAAGGTAATTACTATATGGTGGTGCAGACCTCGCAGTTGTGAACAAAATTATACATTGCGATAAATGCAATCCATAAGTTGTGTGCATTTTTTTAAAGTAGTCATATCATTTTTCAAGCGTAATCAACACGTAGCAATATAAATTGCATACATACATATGTTGACATAACATGTGCAGACATCACATAATAATAGGTACAAATTACTAACAACACATATGTACAAAAACTCAAAAACTAGAAGCTAAGCACGAAAGAAATATGGAAAAAATGGCAATAGGCCAAAACTTGGCAGCCTACTACCGTGGCTCAGGCCTCCTTTTCTCTCTCTTTATGATTCTTTGTAGCTTCTCGTATAGAGCATCAGCAAGTGCCCAACCGCCCTTTTGGCCGAACATGGGTGGCTTTTCACCAGTCGAACTGCACGATCAGGTGAGGGAGGCGACGGGACGGTTTCTGTCCCCATCGATTAACCGTCTCCAATCCTGATCCAAGCGGCGGCAACGACCACCTCTCGGACGTCCGTCATCGTCACCACAATGACAAGGGATAGAGAGCCCCGATGTTGCCATCCTCGCCCTCTAAAGAAGAATCAACATATGGAGCCTCATCTCATGTGAGACTCCATTGAGTGTCCATTCGTGAATCTAAGACCAGTTGGGTTCGACTCCCCCGGTCGGCGAGCGGCATAAGCCCTTGCCAGTACGATGAAGCGGCCGCGACATGGCAACTGCAATAGGGAGGCAAAGCTGGTTCTCTGTTGTTGATGACATCCCCACACGCAATAGCCGACATAGGGAGGCGCCACCCAGGGTCGACGCGTGACAAAGCAGTCGCTGAGTCCACCTCCTCATGCACGGGATTGAGAGATGACATGTCCAAGGATCTCGATGGTACTGGTGCTACGGGCTTGGCCTCCTCAGCATCGTCGTCTGGTGGTGGAAACGACGGCGAAGTTGGGCACAGGCCCCAACTGTGCAGCGGGCACGGCCGCAATGAAGGAGGAGTTGCGAGTTTTGGTTTGATGTTGACGTCCACCGTCTCGTTCACTGGCTCCATCACTTCATCCTTGTGAAGCATTTGAGCGGTTGGTCTTGCCAGAATCCTGGCCGACAGTGCTGCTGCCACCAAGATGGCCGGTCTAGGCTGAGCACCAAAAAGTTTGGCATGGTGGTGACCATTGATTCCTCATACACCAAATCCTCGATGAAAGCTACAACGACGCTCTCTGAAATAATGAAAACCATGCCGACAACCTTCGAATGACAAAGATCGTGCACATTACGGTGGTGGCAACGAAGCCCGCCAATATCACAACAACAACGTGAAGGAAATATGCCCTAGAGGCAATAATAAAGTTATTATTTATTTCCTCATTTCATGATAAATGTTTATTGTTCATGCTAGAATTGTATTAACCGGAAACTTAGTACATGTGTGAATACATAGACAAACATAGTCACTAGTATGCCTCTACTTGACTAGCTCGTGAATCAAAGATGGTTAACTTTCCTAACCATAGACATGAGTTGTCATTTGATTAACGGGATCACATCATTAGGAGAATGATGTGATTGACTTGACCCATTCCGTTAGCTTAGCACTTGATCGTATAGTATGTTGCTATTGCTTTCTTCATGACTTATACATGTTCCTATGACTATGAGATTATGTAACTCCCGCTTACCGGAGGAACACTTTGTGTGCTACCAGACGTCACAACGTAATTGGGTGATTATAAAGGTGCTCTACAGGTGTCTCCGAAGGTACTTGTTGGGTTGGCGTATTTCGAGATTAGGATTTGTCACTCCGATTGTCGGAGAGGTATCTCTGGGCCCACTCGGTAATACACATCACTGTAAGCCTTGCAATCATTGTAACTAATGAGTTAGTTGCAGGATGATGTATTACGGAACGAGTAAAGAGACTTGCCGGTAACGAGATTGAACTAGGTATTGAGATACCGACGATCGAATCTCGGGCAAGTAACATACCGATGACAAAGGGAACAACGTATGTTGTTATGCAGTTTGACCGATAAAGATCTTCATAGAATATGTAGGAGCCAATATGAGCATCCAGGTTCCGCTATTGGTTACTGACCGGAGACGTGTCTCGGTTATGTCTACATAGTTCTCGAACCCGTAGGGTCCGCACGCTTAAAGTAAGATGATAGTTATATTATGAGTTTATGTGTTTTGATGTACTCAAGGTTGTTCGGAGTCCCGGATGTGATGAAGGACATGACGAGGAGTCTCGAAATGTTGAGACATGAAGATTGATATATTGGGGGACTATATTTGGACACCGAAAAGGTTCCGGGTGAGATTGGGACAATACCGGAGCTCCGGGAGGTTATCGGAACCCCCCGGGACGTATATGGGCCTTATTGGGCCTTAGTGGAAAGAAGGGGAAATGAGCAAGGGAGGGGGCACCCCCCCCAAGCCCAATCCGAATTGGGAAGGCCCCCCCCCCG